TGGTGGTTTTCAATGGCTTTTAGAGGGAAGAGAGAAAATACAAGGAAAACTGTAATCTTTTGAGCTTTCCCCAAAACTCCTTCACTGTGTATTCAATTTGGGTAGCTTGTATAGGTATGTTAGAGGAAAAGGGGACACACTGAGGAGAACCCAAGTAGAGGATAGAGAGGAGTCTTCCATGTGAGAAATTCCATGGCACAGTGTTAAGGGCCCCACTGCTGTCCCTGACACGAGCAGTCCAGCTCAGAAGTCCCTTCCTAACCCACCCCCATGTGTCGTGGCAGCTCTCCTGGCTGAGAGCTTGTGCAGCAAAACCTGTTCCAAACAGGGGCCATTAGTGGGTTGTTTCTCGTGGTTGTTGTTAGCTATATAAATATCATGATTCAAGATGAACAAACAACAATATACTAAAGCAAAATACTGATTAAAAATTGTCTCAAAGACATTTTCCACTTCTTTCCTAAAATAAAACATAGTCATGCAGTTTTTATTATTTTTATTACTTCTCTTTAATACCAGTGACTAATTTGGAGCTTTTCCTTGGTATCTGAAGGCACATGTATTTATTTAGCTTGGGTGAGATTGGTCACGATGCAGAATTAATCACATCAATAAGTGCTTCTGTGCTGCTGAGCACTGTCTGTGTAGGGATATCTGTTAAGTCAAAGAAAGCAGTCTCCTAAACTGGATTAGTTTTACTGTGTATGGAAGAATCATTTTGCTTTTGTATTACTGCACGACAGTGATCTTGGATACCTCAGATGGTGGCAGAGCAGAGAGAGTTAAAAACTCTCTGGGATTTAGATTCTTATGTAACTAATGAAAAGAAATTATATAGATTTGTTGTATTTTCTGAAAAGTTGTACAAGTTTTTATCCTGGGAGGATATGATTGATAAACATAAATTAAATGTAAGGTCAAAATGTATAAAAAAATAGAAAATCTCTGGGATCTGAGATTCAGGGAGGAACAGCCAGCTGTGAACGTGGTCTCTGTGTCTCCTGTCCCTCAGCAGACACTGCAGTGGGTTCCAGCACCATCCTTGCTTTGTGGTTCATGTTGTCAGTGACCAAGTTGGGCAGTGCTGTCCTCTCACTGAGCTGGCAGTGCCTCCCTGCTCTGGGTGTCCCCAGCACGGCAGTGCTGCCACTGTGGGACCCTGGGGTGGCCTTGGAGACGTGGGTCCCCCGGGTGCTGCCTGGTCTTGCTGCAGAGCCAGGGTGCTGGTTTGCCGCTCGCCGCAGCATTCCTTCAGTCCAGACTGTCAGTGACCCCGCTTTCCCCATTCCCACCACATTTTCTGGTCCTTGGAGAGAAGCAAGTGCTTGTCCCTGTGTTGCCAGAGCTCACCATGGCTGAGCTGAGGTGCCCAGGCCATTGGACGATGAGCTCTAACGGCTGCTGAAGCGGAACTCGGTGTAACAAGTTCCTCCTCAGCTGCACTCACATCCCTTTTTGGTTGCCCTCAAGTCAGATGCAAGGTGAAGCACTCCAGGTAATTCCCAAAAAAATGCTGGGCCTGGCTGGACAGTGCCTGTTACGCAGCAGACAGTGAGCAGGAAGGTGCCCCCACGGAATTGTGCCAAGGACTCCCCATCAGCCCCCATGTGTCACTCCCTGTGTGACAGCACAGGGCCAGCAGGGCCCTGTCACCAGGAGTGGGATGACACACCAGCTCAGAGCAGGTGACATGAATGGCCTGTTCCGTTCCTGGTAATTAGGTTCAGATTTAATCTCGCCAAGTAATTGGATGTGTGCAGGGATGTGGTGGCTGCATCCAGACTCCTGACTTGAAATTATCCTCCTAACAAAGCAATTGGCATGTTACTGGGCAAGAACTTTGAAATCTAGAGTTTGGTGTCGGGGGTGAATTTGGGAGAGGGGGCCCAGACAGGGGTGGGTTGGTGAGGCCAAGTGCATGAGCTTGTTGGCTGGAGCAAGTGCTCCTAGTAATGAATGAATGATAGTGTCAGTATTGCCCTGTGTGTGCCCTGCTCCACCAGCAGCTCGCTGCAATGGTCTCTCAGGACTTCTTTTCCCCACTGCTCTATCCAGCCATTTCTGGGAAAGGAAAAGCCACCTTTTGCAACCAAGGCCATGTGGCAGCTGCATTAGGAAGGGAAGTGAAACCCCATTTATCTGATTGTAAAAGGTGGGTACCTGAGTAGTAATAAGGTGCATTGTGATATTCATGAAGTGTGTTTTCCCTTCTGGTACAGGAGGTGTTTAAGCATTGGGTCTGCAAGAAGCTGGGGGGGTGTCTGCTGCACCTCTCACCAGTGAGAGCTCCTCTGGGTCACTTCTCCTTCACTTCATTGGCACAACGGAATTTGCTGGCAGAAGGAAGCAGTTGCTTCCCTTGCTGAGTCATGGACATGGATTTTTTTTTTCTGTGGTTAAGGTTATCATGGATGATGCCAATAATCATGTTTGATATAAATGCATACACACATGTACAGTTAGAAATCAGCTGTCACTGTGGGAGTGTTTCCTCTTTGCTACTGTTATAGGCACCTCCCAGCTCTGAATCTCTCCTGTGGGATTCACCCTGGGGTTTGCCACATGGCTGTTCTTGAGGAGAACACCCGACACCCGCTCCCACTGAAACAGGCTGGGAGATGAGGGTGAGGGTCACACCCCTGCACAGGAGGGAGTAGGGAAGGTTTTACAAGTCTGTGCTGCCCCGGGGGGATGGTGGTGTTGGGGGGCCTGATCCTGGTCTGACCCCACTGCCGTGGGTCATCTCGCTGCTCTCCTGCCTCGCTTGGCTTGTGTACATTTGCAGTTAATCAAACAAAATGTGCAAGAGTCCGATTAATAAATAGCTTGTAGTTTTTGGAAGAGTGCATAGTTGTTTTGTTAGAGCCTCTCAAATGTCTTTGTATAGAAACAACATATTTAAAATTACTATTAATTAGAACAAGCATGTAAGACTGATTTTAATAAAAGAGCTCTTGTTTTTTTCTGTTCAGTTTGTTACTTCTCAGAATTTTAACTTGCATCACTAGATTGCTGTTATTTTTAAAGATAAACAACTTCTTTTTAGACTTGCTTGGGAAATTTCACTTCTTAAACAGTTGAAATCCCCCTATGCCAGGGTAATAGAGAACTTCCCATTTCTACAATACATCATGTGGATGTTATGATAAAGGAATTACAGTGTGGATACGTTTTTATTACCAGAAACAGTATTTGCAAGTTCGGTGGTGGGGATGGGTATGTGAACGCTTTGTAATACACAAATTTGATGGAAAATGGGTTAAAGGCAGAGTAATCCATCCCTGTTTTGTGTCCCTGGCTTGAAGTTGCAAGAGCAGAATGACAGCTCATGTGCCATGTCCTTGTCCGAGACAGGCACTGGCCTGTCCCTGCTCTCGTTCATAAATACACGTCCAGCTAAGGCTGTCAGACTGTAAATTCTGCCTGTCCCTCAAGTCCCAAAGTTTGTAAAGGAGACTGATATATGCCCCAGGTCATTAAAAAGAGAAATCAACAGGCATATTTCTTGACTTTAAAGATTTTTAAAATTGCAGCAATGGTGGCTAATCCGTAACCGTCTGCTCCTTAAAGAAAAGAGGGTTTATGGAATTTGCAGTATAACTTTCTGACTTGAAAATAGCATTACTGTAATCTAAAGTAAGAGAGGATTGGGCTGGGGGATTTGTATATCAGTGCCAGTGCACTGCTGGTGGGAACTTGTTTGTGGTTTGATTAGGGACAGAAATCTTGGAGCAGTACCTGATTCCTGCACATGCCTGGGGCACGTAGTGTGCAACATGTGGCCTCTTTTTCATTATTTATGCCGTTTTCATGAACTGAGTGCACTTGGGTGTGTTAAATTCAGATGGAATGTCACAGTTAGGTGGTTCTGCTAAAACAGTTCCAGAAACTGTGAAATAGACTCAGATAAAACCATGTCTGACGGGGATGTGCCAGAGGAGCCACTGAAGTCAGTGGGAGGTTGCACCAGGCGAGTCTGTCAGAGCTAAAACAGTACAGAAAAAACCTTTAAAACACTACTACTACTACTACTACTACTAAAACTATGTATATCATGCAAAATATCTGGGTCACAGAAGCAGTGTTGGCAGTTTTTTACAAATCCAGTGTGGGACTCAGTAATTCAGAGCTAACGTGTGCTTGTAGTGTTAGCAGGCTCTGAGTCCCAAGCTGCTGGGCTGGGGAACTGTGGAATCCATCTCAGGGTACAGCACCTGGGCAGTCCTGCTCCAGAGCTGGCTGCTCTCTGCCCTGCCTTTGCACTCTGTTTGTTCCAGGTATATGTGAAAGTCCCAAATTGAGAGAGGGGTCGTTTAGCTTTTCCATGCTGTCCTATGGGAGCAGTGGGTGCAGCTCCTGTGGGGCTACAGTACAAGACAATTGGGTTGTTCAGCTGTAGTTTACTAAAGAGTATTTTTCTTTACCCAATCCTATACTATTACGTGGCCAAGATGTTCATTAGCTCATTGTTTCAGCTTAATTTTGTGACAGCACTATAATTATATCCCTCAGTTGTGCTGAGGAGTAATTGCTGTATCTCTTCCAAATTTTATGTTGAGATATGTTATTGGTAAACTTTGAGTTTGGCAGAGGTGTTTTGAAAATACTATAAGGCAGTCAGTAATTTTGTGTTCCTTGATTTAAAAGACAGACATTTGGCAATTTCAAGCTTTGGGACTGCCCTGTCAGTGTAAATAGAATATTGATTTTATTCCATTTCCTATCTCATTAGAGTCATTGTCATGAGGATGAATTCACGTTGTGTAATTATCTGTTCTTGCTGACAGTTCTCATGTCATTGAGACTGGTGTTTTCAGCTTCCACTTTCTCTGAGCATAAAAATAGCATTCTTCCCTGCCATCTTCTCTTTCAGTTTTGGGCTTTTTGCCTGCCCAGCTCTATACATCTTTTTTTGAGAGACGTGTGTGAATTGAGATAGAGAAAACAGTGATGTCCAGCAAACCCAGTGACAGGAAGAGTGAAAACAATGGCTCTTTAAGAACAATTCCCAGTGCAGGGAGACACTTTATTTTTGTGTCAAAGACTGTAACGAGGAGGAAAAATGTATCATTAACCTGGCTGTACAACATTTCTTTATAGCAATAATGGGAAGTAATAGGACTCTCTTCTGTGTTAGTTTTACTTTCTTGGGCATTTCCAGATAACCTTTCCATTGATTTGTGAGGCTGTTTCTTAATCATTTTCATTGACCCAGCTCAGCAGACAACTGAGTCATCTCTGTTATCCTCTTAAGGAATGACTTCTCCGTGTTATTTCTCTCTTCTGTTTTTTCTGAGAATCACTTTTAAAATTTGCTTTCAACATTTTTAGCTTCATTTTCCTTGTATTCCCAATAATCAGTAAAGTCAAGGTCATGCTTTGGCCAAACCAATGTTGCAACATTCCCAAAACAAGTAGCAAATCCTTCCAAATTTCAGAAGTTGAACTTCAAAACCCACCTGTGGATTAAGAAAAGCCTTTAGTACTGACTGGCCTACTAGGTGAGGTCTAGAAACTCTGCCCCTACATCAGTTTTAATGAAATAAAAAATAAAAAGTTCAGCTCAATCCTTTTCCTGCCTGTCCCTATGGTTCTCCCTCTGGATTTGCTACAGTCCTTCTCAGCTTATTAAAGACAGCCCAGAGGAGACATCCCATGTGTCACCTGGGTTTTGCAGACAGTGTATCATGTAGCATTTGAAGCTTCTTGGGGACTCCTTAGTGACTTGGAATACCACAAGGGAATTTCAAAGTGAGGGAAAATAGTTTATGGAGATAAAAAATTATAATTCCATGCTAACATCTTCCTTTATTTAGTGGAGATATTGAAGGTAAACCTCTGGTCCACAGTTTTTCTTTATTTCTGCTCGAAGACTATTTTTAAAGCTGACATTTCTAGCTGTTTTCAGGTAGATAACAAATTCTGACAAAACACTTTTTCTTCAAGTAACTGTGCAGACAAAATATACATTTAGTATTTCTTCACGTTCTGAAGATTTACCTTCGAGGCATTACAGCTCCTGGGAGTAACACTTGTCTTCTTGTGGCTGGCAGCCTGAAAAAGGAAAATTCAGCTTGGGTTAGTGCAGTCACAGGTATGTCACTGAGCTCAGCAGGAGCAGGATTTCCCTCTGAGTCAAGGGCTGTCCAGCTCCTAGCAGAGAACTTATTACAAACCCAGGACTGAAACATGGTTTGGGGAGTTTTACCAGGGATATTTCTCCTGTGAGTACGTGTGAGCACAAAAGGTAGTTTTCATCTGTTCTCAATTTGTGTGCTGCCTTTATGCTCTCTTTCATTCCTCGTTAGGGGTGACTACTTGTGTAATGAGAGTGAAATTAAATGTCTTGTTTGGAAAGCGTGGCCTTTAACTTGCATTGGCTTCTGCGTGTAAAATACATCAATTGCTGCTCTGACTCTCTTGGTGTTTGGAAAAATCAATGCTTGGTATGGATTGGGTACCAAAGTGATGAACAGGAGAAAACCCTGCTTAGAGCTGTTCCACAGCTTTGTTGTAGAGCTCTTCCTGGCAGCACCCTGTTCTGAGGGTCTCACAGGCAATAAACACTCGTCACAAAATAACACTCAGAAGTTGTTTTGTGCAGCACAGGAGTGATGGTGGGATGTGGATCCAGCTCTCACCTGTGGAGTTGCAGTGCACCTTGACTGGAGGCTGGGGGATGTGTTCAGGCTCCCAAAAGCTCTCTGATGTGCTGGCAGTCCTGCACGGGGCAGCTGGGGTGCCCTGTGGGCCTGCTGGACCCGCTGGCACGAGGCCCTGGGCAGAGCAGCGTGTTCTGGGCTTTCAGATCTCTTGGTGCTAATCTGTCATGGCTGGGAGTGTGGCACTGGTGGGAGAGCCAAACTCGTTTGCCTGGGGCACTTGTTAGGGAATAAGTTTTCAAGACCTGAGTCTTCAATATCCCAAGCACCGACGAGTGATGACTACTGGCACAGGATGACCCTGACTTGGGAGTTTTGGGCAGTTGAAGCAATTGAGTATCTGTGTTTACCATGAAGACAGTTGTTAACTTGTGCTTGTAAGTAATTATGCACAATTGTTTGTCTCTTGCTAGCAGGGATTAAAAATGTGGCATGATTACAAGTGTCCTGGCAAGGAACCCACGGTGCCTGTTGTAATCTCATTAGCTCTGTTAGGTGTGCTTTCCTTCCCCTGTGGTTGTTCTGATCACTCGGTCCCTGGAAAAAGACTCTTTGTAGGTTTTTCTCATTGGTTTGCATCCATGCGGACAGCATCGCCTCCCGGGGTGTGTTCGTGGTGACTGTGGCAGTGACCTGCTCTGGGGCTGGTGGGAAGTAGGAAGATGATGAAGCAGTGTCTTTAGAAAGACGGGGACGGGAACAACCTTCCCCCAAAGGCAGGCAGGAGGATGCTGTTGGGGTTGCAGTGCCGACAAGAGAATTCCCGTTGTTGTTGTCCGTCAGCACGTCCCGGGCCGTGCCACCAGGGCCCCTCTGCTCCGTCCTCTGGGCTGCTCCTCGGAGATCCTCAGGCGGGGACAGGAGCCGCAGGTGCCTATTCTAGAGCTGTATTTGCAGGTGGCACCAGGCTTTTCCCTTATCACTTCTGTGGCAGAGCCGGGCATCTTCCCTGGCACGGCGGGGCAGGTCTGCCCCGCGCCCGGGGTTCTGCGGCGGCCGATGTTCATCGCGGGGCCGCAGCTCGCCCTCTCCGGGGGAGCCGGGGCAGGGCCGGGCGGGCGGCGCGTTCCCTCGGGGTGTCGGGGAGCGCGGTGCCGGTGTCCGTGTCCGAGCGGGCGGTCAGCGGTGTGGCGGGTCTGTCGGCCCGCGAGGGCCGTGCGGCGGCCAGGGCCGCGCCGGGCCCCGGGCGGGGCGGGGCCGGGGCCGCTCCCGCGCCGCCCCCGCGTTCCGCACGCCGGTACCGCCGGGCCGCGCGCGCGTCCCCCGGAGAGCTCCGGCGGGCGGGGGGGCGGCGCCGGGCCCGAGCGCTGCGAGAGTGGGCGGGCGCTCCCGGCGGTGCCGGCCCCGCTCCCGGCCCCGCTCCCGGCCCCGCTCCCGGCCCCGCTCCCGGCCCCGCACCGGCCCCGCCGGGCCGCGCGCGCGTCCCCCCGCGGGCGCGCTCGGGGCAGCGCGGCCGGCGTCTGACAGGCGCGACCTTTCATAAGACGGCCCCCGCCATTGGCTCCCTGCCCGCGGTGTCGCTGCAAGGCTCGCCGCGATTGGCCGCGGGCGGAGCGGCCGCCGGCCCCGCGCGGGGACGCGGCCCCGCCGCCGGGACTGCCCTGCGCGGGGCGCGGCTCGCGGGGCGCCCGCCGCCCCTAACGTGTCTCCTCTCTCCACAGGTTGGTACTAAGAAGTGCCTTTCCTGACGTCGCTGCTGCTTGGGACCGCTTCTAGAGCAGCCGCTGCTTTTGCCTTGCTTGCTGCCAGCTAGACTGCGACGACAGCGCTCCGCCGCTGCCAGCCCCGCGCCGCCGGGAGGAGGGTCCGGCGCTGCCCCCCCGCCGCCGCCGCACTGTGCACTAAAGTGTGCCCCGAAGGTCAGAGCTCTGCCGCCCGACAGCCGCGGAGAGGAGGAGAAAAACCCCAGCCCAAAGCCAGTGTCGGTCGTTGCTCTAAACTGCTGCATCTGTCTATGCCAAACTAATCGATCCCGATCGCACCGCAGAGCCCGCTGCCATCGCTGCCTGGAGGCACCTGCCAGCCGCCGGCCCGGGAGCCCTCGGGAAGCGCTGCCAGAGCCGCCGCGGCCCCACGCCCGCACTCAGGATGGGCTGCTGAGCGCGGGGCTCGTCCTGGCCACGCTCCCGGAGGCGCACCTGGCTGGCAGTCCCGGCCTGCCCGGCCCAGGAGCGGGCTCGCTCCCCGAACTCTGGTGACACAGCTCGTCCTCGGGATTGCAGCCACCCAGTTTTACACGTACTTGTTTTAACATAGGGAGCGGGGGAAAACTGTGTTCTGGAGGTGGCACTTTCGTCATTTCCAGTTTATCAGTTCAGCTCCTCGTTTTTATTGGAAATTTTAACTACCTGTAAAATCTAAAGATGGCTGTTAGTGTCACGCCGATCCGGGACACAAAATGGCTAACGCTGGAAGTGTGTAGGGAGTTCCAAAGGGGGACTTGCTCGAGACCAGACACGGAATGTAAATTTGCACACCCATCGAAAAGCTGCCAAGTTGAGAACGGACGTGTAATCGCCTGCTTTGACTCATTGAAAGTGAGTAAATGTTACATTATTTTCAAGGATATGTAGTTAATGAAAGAAGCAGTTGTAGCCAGAGGAGCCCTGCAGCCGAACGGGAGCGCGTGCTGGCTGCCGGCAGTGGGGTGTTCTGCTGCTTTTATTTTATTGATGCCTGTCGGTTTGTTTTGCTGTTTTCCTCAGGGGAAGGATAGAGGGAATGAAGGGAAAATACGCCTGGCAGGGCTGAAATCCTCTGGTATGGCTACAGGGTCTCATTTTTTGCCTCCAAATTATTCCCTGCCTGTACCTGGAATAGAGGGCACTTCACATAGAAACAGCAAAGTCACTGTAAGGATTCTTTGTTTTTAATAGCACAAACCACGTAAGCAATATGAGGATTTGTTTCCATCTCGTAACTACCAGCGGGTCGTTGGTGTCTCTGGACAGCTGATGGTGAACCTTAGAAGAGTGTTTTCCTCCCTGGGTTATTTGGGTGTCCGTGAGCACCCTGCTTGCCTTTCTGTGGTTGGCACTGCTGTGGTTATCCCATCTTTTTCCTAAATGCACTTGCTTAAGGGAGGGACAGCACTTAGCAGAAGGCAAGGTGCCTCTGGATGTGCAAGCAGGGCAGGAGCAGAGAGGGTTTGCAGGAGACATATCCAAGCTAGGTGCTGTAAATGTATGACTGTTGTTTCACTGTAGCTGTAGTTCCAGTGATGGGTGTCAAATGTGTGGGTCCCATTGCCTTCCCTTAGTTTTTCATGAATTAAATAAACTATGTAAAATACTCATCCCACAAACAGTACAGAATTAATTCAGTAGAGTCATGAAAAAATCAGAAGTTAGGAAGCAGAGATCTGTCTGTCAGTTTTTTCTCCAGTGTAATTTTCTCTTGCTGGGCCCAGCTCCTGGGAAGTGGAGTGAGTGTGTGGAGCTGGCTGCTGGCAGAGACGTGCTTGGGGAGGGAGTTGTAGCTGTAGCAGCTACTGCAGGTCGTGCACAGCCAGGCCCCGGCGCAGCCAGCAGGAAGTGGGTTACAGTGGGTTTGTGTCAATCCTGCAACATCCCGAGCTTGAAAACGTGTCTTGTCTCAGATCGGGTAGAGGGTAAAGCTTTACAGTGCTCTTGGGCCTGAAATACCCACCCCATCACCCCCAGCCGTGATTTAACTTGCAGAAATGGAAATGGTTTTGTTTCTGTGTTGTTAAAATTTGTTTTAAAGTTACGGTAATTAAAATGCATGCAGGGGTTTTAATTTTAAAATGTCAAAATAAGATGTTTTTATGCATTAGACAAGTGTGGGAGGTAGGAGCGGAGCCAGTGCTGGCGGGGAGTCCCAGCCCCGCGGTGTCACCTCAGTGCTGCCAGAACGCAGGCCTGGCCTTGGAGCCTCCAGCCTGTCCCTGCGTGAGGGACTGAGAGCGCCAGGATGGGTTTGCTGGTGAAGCAGCACCTGCAGTGTCCCCTGGTTCCCAGCAACGTGTCCGGCCACAGCAGCCTGACCCTGCTGGCCTTGTGCTTCTCAGGGTGAGGATCCAGCCAAAAGGGTGGGAACCAGCCACCAGAGTGAACTGGACATGAATCTCCTTTGCCGTAGGACGCATCACCCAGGTTTGTTGCATGCCAGCATCCCCTGCTCAGACTTCTGGCATTGTTGGAAGTGCCTTAAGATCTCCCTCAGTGCTGGCTGGGGAGGCCGGCGGTGCTGGAGCCGGGCAGCAGTGTGGGCTGGTGTCTGTATGAGAGGGGACGAACCAGGCTGGCCAGGCTTCCCCAGCCCCGGTGGCACGGCTGGCCCTTCTGCTGCCGGCATCAGGGCTCTTTGCTTCCTTTTTTAATGCAGGAGCTAACGATGACCTTTGCCAAGCGCTGCAAGGTCCGCGGGTGATAACCGTAGTTAGCTTACAGCCTTACTGCAGATCCTGGAGGAGAGGAGCCTGCTGCTGCCCCGGGGAGTCAGTGCAGGGACCGAGCTGGGAGCTGGGAAAGAATCTGCTGTTTAAAAATACTCTGCTGACCAGAGCTGTTTACTTGTGCTCCTGCTGAAAGGTTGGCCTGTGGCAGAGCTGCTGTGTGCTGGAGAGGCTCCCGGGGCTCGGGCGATCCCCTCGCCGCAGCCGGGGCGCGGGGCAGGGGAGCTGCTCCTGATGGGCCGGCGTGGGCCCGGCGTGGGCCTGGCACCCCTGGCTGCCAGCGGCTGCCCTGGGCTGGGCTGGGTGGTTAAGGAGCTGTATCATGTACGAGAATACCTGGGGTAAACAGAAGAGGGAATATCTTCCTTCTGGGAATTCCCAGTCCCCATTGCTGAAGCCATTGCTCGATTTTGGGTTTGTGTCAGCTCTGGCTCAGTTTTGGTGTGTGCTGAGCTGAACAGCACTAGTCACTGTGTTACCTTGTCTGCAATATCCCAAACTTTAGATGTTCTATAAAAACAATTTAGGGAAATGCTGCACCAGCTCCATCTAGACCCTGTAAGGTCGGTCAGTAGTTTAGCACAGAGAAAAAAAGATTTTTGATTAGGACATTCAAAAATAATTTTTAATTTTTCAATAATTCAATATGTAATATCTCTACTCTTTACTAAAATACCAGTACACTGAAAAATTTACATTAATGTTAAAGTACTTGATTTCTTATTAAATGTATATAATATTAGTATTAGTTAAACAGCTATTCTTACATTAACTCTTGCAGGTAAACATATATTTAGCCACTGAATTATTTTTTTCACAAACTAAGAATGCATCTTGGCAGGGGGCTGCAATGAGATGGCCTTTAAGGGCCCTTCCAGCCCAAACCAGTCTGTGATGCTGTGTTCTGTCACTGGTATCACTCCCAAGATCTGGTGTGAGTGTGCTGTGTGAGAGCTGACGTCAGGCAGGTGTGAGCGCTGCAGAGCTGCAGCCCCTGGAACAGAATCTCCATTCTCTGGAGCTGGAGATGCCCATGTGCTCTGCTATATTTAGAACATAAACAGACACAGCAGATACTGGGAGGGGACCCTGTGCAGTGGCAGTGCCCTTCACCTCTGGCCTCTGCCCAGATGTCCTGTGTGGGCGCAGAGCGGGGGACGGAGGGGACAGAGCGCATGGAGCACGCAGCCACCGCGGGCAAACGCCACTGCCGTGCCCTGCCCTGCCTGGAGGAGGCAAAAATAGGTGCCAGAACTGGAACTTTAGGTTTGGGTAAGGCACTTCTTTTTCTTTTTTCATTATTTCTCCCCCTCCCTGTGAAGTGAATGCACAAACTCTGCGCAGGGCTCAGCAGGGAGAGGGGTGTTGACTCCCGGGGTTCTGCCCCGCACTGTGTGAGGAGCGGTGGCACTGCAGCCTTGGGCTCTGGACACTGTCACTTGTTGGGAAACAACACATCCTGCTGGCATACCTGGCAGCTCCTTCTTACCTGTGAGGGGGAACAAGCAGCTGCTGGTGTGTGTTAATTGGGAGTGTGGGGAGGAGGAGGCAGCCAGGCCTGTGGCTGGAGCCTCCGAGGTGCTGCAGGAGGAGGTCAGGGCCGGGACAGCCCCAGCGGGATGTTGTCTGCTGCCTAATTAGTGCTGATGAAACCTGCAAGGCTGGCCTAGGGGAGTGCACAAATCAAGATGAACTTGTGTGGGGTAATCTGGCCCTTAGATATTAGGAGGATAATTTTAA